GAGATGAGCATTGCACGCTAGTTAGAAAGTGTGGAGTTTGGTTTGATATTGGTACTAATGTCTTGTGTGATGAGATTACTTTGAACATTGTGTGTGATGACACCTAGAATTTTCCCCGTTGGTCTGGTTGATTGAGTGATGCAAACACTTGAAATGACCTTAGGCAAGAATTTTGAAGAGTGAACCAACATGTCAATGTACCTCTTTTGTGGCCAACCTTGTGAGATGTGTGAACCTATCTTGGTACCAATTGAGCCTTATCCATTTTCTTGTAAGAAACTTGAAAAATTGTGACCTCTCTTTATCCATTCACCCATAACTTTCATGAAGTATGGTTTGTTTGAGTAGCCAACTTAGACCAAAAGCCTAATTTGGGGTGTGGTGAAAAGAGAAGGAAAGTCAAGAAGTGTGAGAAGTCCCCCTTTGTGTGATTGCTTTGGAAAAGAGGGAACCCCTCCATTTTAAAAAAAAAAAAGAGAAAAGGAATTGAAAAAGAAGAAAGAAAAGAAAAAGAACAAAAAAGTTGTGAAATAAAATAGTGAAAATTGCAAAAGAAATGGGGTATCCGGTGGTTCACATGAAGTTGAATAATAAGGTGGATTATGAGAATGTTTGAAATGTTAAAAAAAGGATGAAAGTGATGTTCAGACCACACTTCATGAAGGTGGAAGCCACTAAGCCTAATTGATCATATCTTTACACTCAGCCCCGTGACAAGCCTTGAAAAGACCTTTGTGATCTTGAGTAAGTTGAAATTAATTTTGATTGGAAAACAAGGACAAACCTATCAGTGGAGTTATGCATGTGTTCATCTTTGTGAGTGTGAGAGTTGCATGTGATTCTGGGACTCTAAATTGCTGAAGAATTTTGTGTGAATATGAAATCATCTTTGTTGTGAGGGCATTTGAGTACCTTTGTTGAGCTTGAACTTGCATTTAAAGCAAGTATTGTGAACTTGAGCATCTTTGGTAATGGTGAGTCACAATTTGAATCTTTGAGTGAACAATTGGGCATTGTATGTATAGTTTGAACTTTTTGTGTGCATTCAGGTTGAGTCTTATGCAGCACTACTTGAGGCATTCTTATTGAACTCCTGATCTTGAATTTTGCTTGAGGACAAGCAAAAGTTTAAGTTGGGGGTGTTGATGAGTCCGAGATTTGGACTCATTTAGGACTTTGTTTTGATAGTTTTAGTGTCCTCAAATGCCTAATGTATGCTACAAACTGATGTTAAAGCCTTGATTTTCAGGTATGTGAGCTAAGGAGCAAGGTAAGGACACTAACATGCAAAAAGGGGCATAACAAGTTGAAGAAGTGAAGAAAGGAGATCATGGTGATCGCCAAGACCACTTGGTGACTTGCCGAGCGACTCTTCAATCCGCCTAAAGTTCCTGTGTGCCATCCCTAAGGCAAGAAACCAAGTCGGCGACAAGAATGGACAGTCGGTGAATCGTTGATCGATTTTGCGATTCCAAGATCGATTGCCCAAAGTTACAAGACCTTAGATGTTAAAGGCCAATGCAAAGTGGCGATGGAAGAGGACAATCGGTGGATTGCCAATCAACTCGAAGAGCCCGACTTACCTCACCTAATGGCCTTTCAGGCCATATTTTGGGCAATTATAAATTGAATTTTGAACTGTAAATTGAGGGGCTTGCTATCTTTGAGAAGAGTTTTTCTTTTGAGTTTTAGAGTTCCATTGTAGACTTTGAAGCTTTTTGAGGCCCAATTTTGAGGATTTGGAAGTGGGTTTCTAAATTTCTTCAATTTGGACCATTGTAAAGACTTGGGAGCATTTACCCAGATCATGGCGAATGTATTTGGTAATCGTTTCCCTATTCTTATGATGTGTGGCTAAAATTCCAATTCTTGGGGGTGTGATTATACGTTTAATTAGCTTATGGGTATTGTTAATTACTAGTTTAAATGTTATATTGAAGTGGGTTTAATCATTAGTTGTGTTTTAATCTATGAATTGTAGTTGCAAATGCAGTTCCAATTTTGAGTTTTTAGCTTGCTTGAGATAGAGGTTTTTAACCAAAGCTTTTGATTAATAGTTTGTAGGCATTAGGTTGATATGGATTCAACTCGAGAGAGTGAATCCTTAACCTAGTCCTACTCATCTTGTTCGAGAGAGAGGATGTATTAAGGTTGTGGGTTGTTCTTATTTTGTTAAGCTTGTTGATGTTTGAAAGAAATCACTTGGAACGTGATAGTTGTTCGAGAGAACACTATTTCAATCATAGTCCAGCCTATTCACTGATATTTAACTATTTATTAGTAGTCTCAATTACCCATATAGAGAAATTTGCCTATAATCGATCACATCCCGAGGATTCCTCTCTTTATTGTTTTTTCATTGTTGTTTGATTGCGTTGTAGTTGCTAATTGCAAACCTAAACCCTCATCTGACATTCGTGTCACCCCTTTTGACTTGTTTTCATGTCTTTTTTTTGATAATTTTTGTTCCTATAACTATCAAGAACACATTTGTACTTCATAACTGAACTTGAACATGTACCGCTCCTTGTGGGTTCGACCCCAACTCTTTGTTGGGTTTTATACTGCTTAACGATCGTTTGCACCTAGAATTGGATAATGTGTGCTTGAAACGTTAATCAACATCCTAGAACCGATTTATGCTCTGAATACAAAGTTTGTCACTATCCAAAGTACCCCAAGTGTGACATGGCGAATAAGACCCAAGAGGTCCAAATCAAGTCACTTGACATTAGCATGACGTAATCAACATAATGGAAGGAGAATAGATATAAAATATCTCAAATGATAAAATCTCAACGTACAATACTGAATGAAAATGCAGAATACTAAACGGTGCCTGACATAGTCTCTAAAACATCATAAGAGTGGTTGAGACGTAACTCATACGCCATGTACAAGTCTGAAAGCAAAGACAATGAAAAGTAACAACTCCATAGGCTCGTCCTCAAGCCATGAGGACTCACCAAATCAAAAGCAAGGCTGGGTAATCCACCTAAGTGTGTTCGGGTGGAAGAGCGTTTGATCCTATATTATGAGACAATATAGACAAAAAATATATATTAGTACTATGAATATACTAAGTATGGAGAAATATGCACAAACCTAGACATGATATCATAATAGGATTAAAATGTGTAATGCATGACTAAGTAAATAATTTAAAATCTTAGATAGCAAAACCATAAAATCACAAGATAGGGTCAATGCATTAGAAAAAGGACATAATGTAACGTTTTAGGAAAATCATAGTTATTTTGTGGTATATTAGGTTTAACATCATGTGAGGTATAACATGGAATCCGGTGTAACCCTCACACCGAAAAGAAAGAGTCTAATTTGTCAAGGAAAGAACTCATATCATAATCATTAATGATATGTGGATCCACTAGAGAAGTCATTAAGACAACCTACATGGGCACATAATTTGGGAAAGGAGATTGCTACCAGAGAGTATCCTTTTTGAGCCTCCACCTCAAAGTTCTCTCGGTGCTAAGTAAAATCCTAACAAACAAGATAAAGTCAACATCATATTATTACATTAGGAAACACAATAATCAAGTACTAATCCAATAATAAAGTCATATAAGAATAGTTCTTTTTAAAACCATGATTTCATAAAATAGTTCATATAGACACTTACCATTCTAAGCATCTAAATCATGATTTTCTTTCAATTGTGAGGAAACTTTTCACAAATCATTGATATTTAACTTAAAGTATCCTTAAATCATTATTCATCTTTTCATAAAACATGCATAAATCCTTTATCAAATTCATGATCATAATTTCATAGTACATAAGTAAAATCAAGCATAAAACATCGGTCCATATGAAATCAATTTAAATCGAATTGAATCAAATCGTGCATAATAAAATATAATATCAAAAACTAAATCATAATAAATTGGACCCATGAAGATTGTCATGAAATCCCATATGAATTGGGTGAAATTGAATTAGAGATTTGAGTTTCTTTTGGGAGTAGTGGATGAAAGAGATCGATTGGTGAATTCCCTCATACCTCGATAATCAAAGCCTCAGCAAAGCAATAGGAAAGTGACCTTGGAGCTTGAAATCCTAGCTTTTCACCTTTGAGCATGAGAGAGAATTGAAGAGCATGAACTTAGATGGGATTTGGAGTTTTGAGAGAATGAGAGGGTTTGGGTAGTTTTAGGACTTGAAAATCAGTTAGAAGAATTAGAAATAGGCTAGAAACAACGTAGTATAGGCCTTAAAAGGATAGGAAAAATACCCAAATATCCTTAACAAATAATTGTCGGACAGACCTACGATTGGGTTCTACGTTCTGTAGGGCATACTACATTTCGTCTTGTTAAACTTTGTAACCTCGACTAGAGCCCAAGAGTTTGAACAAATCCTATGGGACCTCCCTACGGTTCGTCGTCTGGTCTACGGTCCGTAGACCTCACCTGTAGACTTCAAGTAACCAAAAATCACCTAAGTCCAAACATCATTCCACGAGTCCACTCTACAATCTGTAACACAAACAATGACCCGTAGGTCCTATACGTAGAGCACAAATACATCAAATCCATTAAGTGCAGAACCACTCTACGAATGACTCCTACGACTCATAGAGTCCACTCGTGATCCCTGGAACCAAATTTCCAAAATCTCTGAAGTCACTCTTCGGGCATCATCTACGACCCGTAGTCCATTTGACAACTCATCCAGTTAAATCGTAACTCATCATCAGAGACTTGACATTTTCCGAAATCCTGCCCAGTGAACTTTTCCAAACTCAACTTTTGATATTTTCGAGGTGTTACAATATAATGGATCACTTATCTGTCATAATAGTTCGTAAATAATATATTTTTTAAAATAACAATTACTTAGAATTATTTAAATTTTCTCTAATTCGCATGGGTTAATTTACTAATAAAAAAAAAATCGACCTTTCAAGTATATATCAGATTTCAGATTTCAGATTTTAGATTAATGAGAAAAAATTAAAGAAAGAAACAAACGGGTACCATATTGGCATTAGGGGCGTGCTTCTAAGGCACGAATCGCAGTTGCATCCGTTCCGCCTAAACTTCATCTCGCTGCAAAAATCTTCACCTTTCGTCAATGGAGAAAAAATGTGAAAGAGAAGATATGAGTGCAATCGATACAGAAAGGATGAAAAACCTGAAGAAGATGAGGGAGACATTGATATATGATGCGTATTACTTACCAGCAGAAAACTATCTTAAACATGGGAAAATGGCCATATCTAAACCCCGTGTTGACATGTTTCTGGATCAGTGCTCTCGTTTGCAGGAGGAGGACTCATATAGGTATATCTTTTATCTCTCATTTTTCTCCAAATATACATCTGAATCAGAATTAGCATCGCTACCCTTGATTTTTGTGCTTTTTCTTTTCTTAGAATATATTGGTCTTCTCAGGCTTGCTTCTGATGATTGAGTCTATAATTTTTCCATTTTTATGTTTACTGTAATGCATACTATTGTCAGGACCAGAACACCAGCTTTATGATTATCAACCTTCCACATATCTGACCTAAAAAATATGACATGTTACAGAATGATAGGCTTATTTTTCCACTCAAATAATTTTGGTAGTAGGTTGTCCTCCCCGATTTGTATTTATTGGGGGTGTTTTTGAGTTCCAAATCAATACAATGAGATGGTTAGTTGAGCATCTTCATTTGCGCATAATTGTTTTTGAAATATGTGCAGGAGTCTATGGAATATGACTATAACACCGTTGGGTCATGCCAAACAATACAGCCTTAAGGAAATCGAAGATATGACCGACAATTTTCAGCCGTACACGCTGATTAAATCTACCAAGTATGGGAGAATGTTCAGTTACCCAACCAATGAAGCTATTACTATCAAAACATGGGATTTCTTTTGGCCAGATTTCAATGGCTATTCTTACCATCCATCTAGATTTTGTGTATGTTAAATCATATATATATGTTTTTTTTTGTTGGATTGGATCCTATTTCTCTCTCTTAACATTTTCTGCTAAGATACTTACTAAAATTTACAGAATGAGCTTGAAATACTGACAGATGATAATCCTCATGCATGTTTGATGAAGTTAAAGGGGTTCTGTTTTCAAAATATACTTGCAATTGTGTATGATGAAACACCAATTCAATTTTTGTCGTACGTCATTTCTGGTATTTAAACTACCTAAAGAAATCTTCATCTGCTATAGTTGAGGGCTACCAGGTTTACTAGTTTTATGTGCTTTAATTTTTACTTGTCATTTGTATTTGTTCCTTGAGATGGGGAAAGCTTTAGATGGGAGGATAGAATGAAGGTGGCAGCTCAACTTGCAACCCTCTTCATCTGGTTGCATGAGAAGCAATTTGCGATTGGTCGTATGGAGCCTTCTAGCATAATGATTGACAAGGTAACATCCAAACCTTATGGATCTCGATCCTTGTTGACATTTTACAAGTAACTGTTCAATAGGATTTGCAGGCAGGGCCATTGTAGTTGAATTGAATTCCCTTCACCAAAAAATTATATTATTGTGCAAATAGGCTAAAACAAGTATTTAGGGAAGTTATGGTATAGAGGCATAAGGTTTACAAATTCTTTATGTTGCAAGCTCAATTTCTAGGTATGATATTCTAGTACTTTCTGAATTCCTTTATTTGAAATCTCTGCTCATCCATTGCTTGCAGGACTTCAACATGAAAGTAATCGACTTTCCTTTCCTGGTTCGTGTTAGAGACATCCCTCATAATATTCTTCCTGATGCTCCCGAGGCTGATAATGTTACTGAGACTTTAAAAGATGATGTTTACGCATTTGGTATTCTACTTTTGAGGTTGATTACCAATAACAAAAGCATTGAAGGTCCATATCATTGTTGGATTCAGGAGGAGCTACAAGGTGGTAAAGGATCGATAGTGGATAAATCAGTTCTGCTAAATTGTGATGGTGTGCTCGCTTGTGGAATCACAAAACTAGCGACAGAATGTCTGGATGAGGATCCAAATGCACGCCCAGATATGAAGAATGTCTCTGACCGCTTGACCAATTTGGTAAGCAAAGCAACTTGAACCATGGAAGAGCAAATTTTATTGTTTTGTTAAGCCTGTTGTGAGACTTTATATGAATCATGTAGTTGATTAACTGGACATGTCTAGCGGATTACATGCATTAAGATTGTATGGTTCTGATTTGCTTGTTGGGGCACTTTCTTTGAGAGAAAAACTAAACAAAAACATGATGTTTAACAAAGAGATATATGGGACTAGCTCTGGCAAAAGTGGATTATTTGCGTCACTGCATGAATTATGATATGTTTAACTTTTAACCTATGTTGCTCAGACTCTTTAAAAATGTCATCTAGTGTGTTGGTTCCTTCAAAAGTAGTGCATTTTTGTAGGATCCGACATGAGTGCAACAACATTTTTTGGAGCAACTTAGAACTTAACAACATTGTGTCCTTTAGTGCCCACCAGTCTTTATGACTTTATCTCCATTGCTTTGTGTGGATTTAATTGTCATTTAATTTGAATCCGCTGTTTCTCTTTCTTTTGTATTTAATACCAAGTCTCTGCTTGCTGATTTCTAGTAGCTAGAGGTTAATTATTCAGTCAAAAGACGTCTAGCAGAAATACACTCACCTGGTTATAAATGTGAACTTGTTGGCTATTCTTTTTGGATACAGATGTCCGAAATTGGTTTCGAGCAGCGTCAAGTTTGTGTTGCTATCAGCGAGAGACCAGGAGAACAGTTTGGACAAACAAGAATGATTAGTGTTCTCACCTTAGCATTAGCAGTTGGTGTCGTTGGATTCTTCTTGTTTAAGAAGCACTGATTATTCATTCTAACTGTTAGAGATTTTTCACTTTTTATGTAAGTGCATGCATATTCTCTGTATTATTTCTTGATGGTGAAAGAGAAGTAATAAATTTGCATATGTTTTAGCCCACCTTTAAATTGGTGGTGTGGACATTTATCCGAAGTTGGAAGTATAAAGTAAATGAGACTGTTAATTAAACAAAATATATATTCTTCTTATTTAGAAATGGCATTTTTGAAGTACGAACATCGCAATGAATTATTGTACCAAAAGTAGTGCAAATTGTACTAGAAACTAACTGAATTTAGTAAATGCATTTATTTACTCTTTATTGTATAAGACACGTGTATTGTGTAGTTCAATTGCAAACTCATATTTTCATTTTTGGGAAGACACATGTCCACCTTTTAACTTTGATTGAACATTTGGCTTTCATTACACCACTAGAGAACTTGGCCGCGCTTCGCGCAATCATTAAAAATTAAATATTTTTGATTAATTTTATATTTACTTTGTTGTTTAATCGTAATATTATTGTTTGTTTTAATAATATGAAGATTGTGAAAAAAATAAAGCTTGACAAATTTTACATCTATTAAATGAGGAAGAATATATTTTTTATCAAATAAGTTAAAATATATTTGCTAATAACAAATTCTTTCATTGCATGAAGGTGATCCTTTAATATTACTCATATTTAGAAATGGGAGTTTGGGAGGACCAACATTGCACTAAAGAGTTGGACTAAAAGCTATAGAAATTGTACATTGAGGTCCACCAAAAAGATAAACAAAAGTAATTTCATCTACTTCTACTTTTTCTACACATTAAAATGTGTACTGCTTTCTGTACACGTGTTTTTCTGACAATTTTGGTTATATTTTTCTTTAAAATATTTATTGCCTCGATTTTTATTTTTATTTTTAATATTTATTTTTAATTTTAAAAGATTGGAAATTTTATGTTAAAAATTTAAATAATAGAAAAAATGATTTATTTAACTTTAATCATCATCAATACTACTAATTTATTTGACGTTTTTTTCTTAATCTTCATCTCATCATTAATGTTATTTATATAATTTTCTTAAATCACTTATTTTTTCTTTTTTAACTCTTTTATATTTATAATTTATTTGACGTTTTTTCTTAACCTTCATCTCATCATTAATGTTATTTATATAATTTTCTTAAATCACTTATTTTTTCTTTTTTAACTCTTTTATATATATAAAAGTTGGATATGTAAAAGATGATGTGACATTTCTTAAAAGCTAAGATTACTATTTATCTAATTTCTCCAATTTTTTTTAAAAAATTGAAGATATCATACGCAAATTTATGGTCAAACTTAAACTATTTGATTCTCGAGAAATAAAAAGTGTCACATAAAATGGGACAGACAAAGGATAACTCTCAATTAAATTTATTTTACTTTTTATTTTCCATTTTTAACATAATTTTTCAAGTTGGATTTCTAGGAATTCTATAGTAGACCCATTTAAATTTTACTTTTTTGTTTTAAATTAGAGAACTTGGCCGCACTTCGCGCGATCATTTAAATTGAATATTTTTGATTAATTTTATATTTACTTTGTTGTTTAATCGTAATATTATTATTTGTTTTAATAATATGAAGATTGTGAAAAAAATAAAGCTTCACAAATTTTACATCTATTAAATGAGGAAGAATATATTTTTTATCAAATAAGTTAAAATATATTTGCTAATAACAAATTCTTCCATTGCATGAAGTTGATCCTTTAATATATAATATATATTCCGGTGTACCATTCTCCTTAAATGTCTAAGAAATATCTCATAATGTCAAATAACACCGTAATACTCCCTATGTCCCTAATTACTTGTCCACTTTTAAATTGACACATTTATTAAGAAATCAATTAATGACATAGTGAGTTTATCATTTTACCCCTATTAATTATGAAATAGATGAAAAGTTCTGCAATTTTCAAAGTAATTAGTAATTTAATTGAGGGTATAATAGGTAAAAAAAATGTTCTTTCTTGATTTGTCAAAATGGACAAGTAATTAGAGACAACTATAAAAGGAAAAGTGAACAAGTAATTAGGGACAGAGGGAGTACTAAACAAATGCATTAGCAAATGAAATTTATATTAAAAATATATTAAATAATGACGTAATGATACCTTAATAGAATTTCCTATCCATTTAAAAAAAAAAGCTTCACCCTTTCAATTTCGTTATATCTTCTTATTTAGTAGAAGAATAATTATTTATTATATTCTACTCCACCTTAATTTGTACCATCAGAGTTTTAAGAATAAACATTAAATTTTAAATCGAAATAAAAATTCATTGAAAAATGACAGAAAAAATAATAATAGTATATGAAAATTAAAATAAGGTGCAAGAAAAGCCTTCTCACGATAATTTTTTGAAATATATTGATAACAATTAAAATGAAGCTGTTATTTTATCTTTGAAATTAAGTTTGATTGAATTGAATTAGTACAATGAGAAAAAATATTAAACTAATAACTTTTTAATGTTATTAAATGTATTTTCTTTTCGGAAAAGGGTCAAAATTGCCCCCGAACTATATGAAATAGACCATTTATACCCTTCGTTACATTTTGGATAAAAAATGCCCCTGTTGTTATCCTAAGAGACCACAAATACCCTCAAGAGTTAACACCCCAAATTTTTGTTGACGTGGCAAGCCACGTGGGACTAATCTTTCCACCTAAGCGTTGCCAACTAGGATTCACTACAAAAGAACTAGACCTTTAGCGGCAACAACAGTCGCCACAAAAGCCCAGAAAATCGTCACTAAAAGTTTTTAACATTAAATTCTAATTTTGTGTTTTTTTCTTCATTGTTTTTTAAAAACTAAATATGATATCGATTAAGTAGGAGTTTGAAGACACTATGGTGTCGTTTGGTAGAGTGTAAGAATAATGCTGAATATGATGTATTAGTAATGCAAGCATTAGTAATGCATGCATTAGTAATGCAAGCATTAGTAATGCAAGCATTAGTAATGCTTGCATTAATTATGTTTGCATTATTTCTTATACATTGTTTCGTTTGATGTATTGGAAATAGCAAGCCTTGTATATAGACTATTAAAAAAAATACTTGTTTACAAAAATACCCCTACATTCTTTTACAAAAATAAAAAAATAAAAAATAAAAAAATAAAAATAATAATAATAATAATTATTATTATTATTATTATTGTTATTATTATAATAATAATAATAATTATTATTATAATTATTATAATTATAATTACTATTATTATTATAATTATAATTATAATAATAATAATTATTATTATTAGAGGGTAGTTTTGTCATTAGTTAATCTAATGCATGCATTAAAACCATTGCATTGTTAATACCTAGAAATCCATGGTATTAGCAATACACAACTTAATACACAATAGAGTGTATAACTAATGCAAGCATTAGTTATACATAGGTTGGAAAAGAGTACCAAACAAGGTACTAGTAATACACAATGCTAATGCATGCGTTATTTTTCCTAATACACTCTACCAAACGACCCCTATATGTTTTATTTTTATGTCATATGTAAATGTATAAAATGTACAATGATGCATTATATATATATATAGTAGGAGATTTGAATCGAGAAGTAATTTTGATTATTTTTCGTAATAATATTGGATGTTTTTAATATGGATATTGCAAGTTATTCATTTTAGAAAATTAGGTCGCAATTGAAAATTAATTATCATATTTTTTTGTTGAAAAAATAGGTTTTACTAGCGAATGGTTGTTGGAGCCTTAGTCTCCACTAAAAATCACTCATAACCTTTAGTGACAATATTTTGGGATTTTGTGGCGACTTTGTCGCCACTAAAAGTCAAGTTCTTTTGTAGTGAATCTTAGTTGGCAATGCTTAGGTGGAGGGATTAGTCTCATGTGGCTTGCCACGTCACTAAAAAGTTGGGGTGTTAACTCTTGAGGGTATTTGTGGTCTCCTGCGATATCTGCGGGGGTATTTTTGATCCCAAAATGTAATGGAGGGTATAAGTGGGCATAGTTCAGGGGCAATTTTGACCCTTTTCCTTTTTCTTTTTAATTGAGTAGTAGATTAAATGTTCCGAATTAGGATATTAAAATAATATCTTACTCTCTCATTAATTATTATGGTATTGCAAACATTTATTTTCCTTAAATGGTGATTCATTTGCCATTTACAATTATATCCAATTAATTTCTAATGTATTGAATGTGGTTATGGGATATTGAAATAATATCTTTATCTTTCCTTAATCATAATAAATATTTATTTTTCTGAAATAATAATTTTGTTTTAATTCCTAGAACATATTGTTTACTACATTGAATGTAATTATAATAAAACATATTGTATTTAGTATGACAAAAGAACCCAAGAATTGGAGAAATTAGATAAATAGTAATCTTAGCTTCTAAGAAATGTCACATCATCATTTACATATCCAACTTTATATATATAAAAGAGTTAAAAAAGAAAAAATAAGTGATTTAAGAAAATTATATAAATAACAATAATGATGAGATGAAGATTAAGAAAAAACGTCAAATAAATTAGTAGTATTGATGATGATAAAAGTTAAATAAATCATTTTTTCTATTATTAAAATTTTTAACATAAAATTTCCAATCTTTTAAAATTAAAAATAAATGTTAAAAAAAAAATCTAGGCAATAATTATTTTAAAGAAAAATATAACCAAAAATTGATAAAAATAATTAAGTATCTATTACTAAGAATGGTGTCACTACATTTTCTATTTTAACTTTATTGTTACATATGGATGGCAACTTTTAGAAAAGAAATGATCCAAAAATTTAAAAATAATGATTCCTTAAATGGTGATTCCTTTTCCATTTACAGCTTTTCAATTAATTTTTAATGTATTATATATGGTTATGGATATTGGAATAATAATTTTATCTTTCCTTAATCATAATAAATTATATTTTAACCTTTCTTTTTGTGAAATGATAATTTTCTT